GAAACTCAACACGGCAACTCTGGTCTGCACACCTCAGGACTGCAGACAGAGACCGGGACTGCTCAAGAAACAACGGGAAGAGTACCAGAGATGGTGACTCCATCTCCCTCTTCAAGCGTGGACCCCAACCTTATGGAAAGGTTCTTCAGCTTCATGTCGCACTTCGACCAGCAGCAGCAGACAAGGACACCTGCGCATTCAACACAGAGCAATGGAGGAAACATGGGATTAGCGCCGATGAGCCTCGACAACTCATCGTTTGGGCGACACAATCAAGCGCCTACCTTTGCGCCTTATCACTCTTCACCGGGGACGTTCGAGTTCATGCCGCCCCGTGCCCAACCAACAGCAGCTGCATCACAACAAACACCAAACGAAATCTTAAGTCTCCAGGCGCAGTTTTCACACGTGATTAAACTGCAGACATCCTCACCGTTCAACGGACACGACTTCTTTACCTGGAGCTTCGAGTTCGAGCTGCTGATGGAGGCTGCGCATCTCCTGGGATACTTCAACGGGTCCCTGCCATTCCCAAGCAACGGCACTGGAAAGGAGCAAGAAATCTTCACGTATCAGTCGCTGCTGGCGTATACAGTTCTCCTGAGAAACCTGTCACCACAAGAACAGCAGAGCATCAGAACATACAGGAGCTATGGCAACTCCGCAGAACTCGCATGGCATCACCTCAAGTGCCTCTATCAAGCAAACGACAGCGTGACACAAAGCAGACTCATGCAACAATTGACAACAATACAGATGAAGACCTGGGATACAACCTACTAAGCGTAAGCCAACTAATGGCCAAGGGGATTCACCTGGAGTGCGACTCCTACTCCAACGAGTTTCGGCCATACCACGGAAAGGGTGGCCTCTTCATCGGTCGTGCCCTCCTGAAATCCGGCGTCTTCGTGTTGGACTTCGTCCCCGACCGCGGTACTGCCGACAGCGACGGCATCGTATCATTCGCCGCCTGGACACACCCGCCGGATCTTGATCCAGAATTCGACAGTGACGGCTTCTGGCACTCCAACACCATACCTGCAGCAGAAAGAACACGAGCATTAGCAGTCATCAGACAAGAAAGACAAGTACCCGCGAGTATCCCAACCAAACCATCACCTGCAGTAGCAGCAGCAGGACCCAGCCGAGTCCCACCACCGGCAATCCGAGGACCGCCAACCGAAGCAGACCAACTTATGCCCATCACACGAGAAGTTTGTCGAAGTCCCACCACAGTCGTCGCGTTCTTCTCCAACGCCGACATATACCACCGCTCGTCGGGTCATCGCGCTTCCGACGACATCTGGCACCAACGCCTCGGGCATCCTGCAAACAGCACGATACTACAAACAATCCAAGCAGAGGTGTTAGAACGCAACGCCCTCCTAACGATGAGCGGCCAAGAACTTCGACGGCCACAAGCACGGTGCTTCACGTGCCCCGAAGCAGATCTTCCCCATCAGCCTTTTCCATCTCATCACAACCCAAGCGCACCTACATACGCTCCGATGGAAAAAGTCTACAGCGATATTTTAAACATGCCTCGAGAAGACACCGAAGCCGACTTCAACTACGTCATCACGTTCGTCGACGCAGCAACCAGATACGTCTGGCACTTCAATCTCAAGACGCGCGATCAAGCTTTCGACGCCTTCACAACATGGCTTCCCATCGCCGAACGAGAATCAGGAACCAAGCTCAAGAGCTTCCAGTCAGACGGTGCACTGGAATACCAGTCACAACGCTTCAGGACATATCTGGCGGAAAGAGGAATCAGACGCCTTGTGTCTCTGCCCTATGCTCACCAGCAGCAGGGGGTCGCAGAACGCATGAACCGGACCTTGCAGACGACGATGCGAAAACTGCTTATGGGGATGAGGCTGCCCACCACACTATGGCCAGACGCGATGACACATGCAGTTCACCCGCACAACCTGCTGTCCTCGTCATCGCTTCCCAACAACGCATCACCGCACCTGTTGTGGACAAGAAAAAGGGGCAGCACAAAATTACTCCGAGTTTTCGGTTGCATGGTACAGTACAGACCCCACACAGCCCGAGCAGGACGCTTCACACTAAGCTCGGTGGGGACTACACCTCGGCATCGCCAAACATTTTCACGCGTGGAAAATTCTCGACATACAAGACAAAAATACCGTGGCATCACGTGATGTTATCTTCTACGAGCGACTAACGCTGCAGCATTACCTGGACAACACCCCACCGACGGCTTCTCCGGACTTCGTTCCTTCGCCGACCGTGCTGCCGAAGCTGACGCGGCAGAAGAAGACGTACCTGAAGCCTCGGAAGCTGCCGGACCACTCCCATTCTGTTCCGTACCTGTTCCACTCGACGAAGACAATCCTCTCGATAGCAACAACCTCGACACCTTTTACCACTTCGCTGACCAAGGTTACATTACACCCCACCCAGTCGACACAAATGTTTCAGAACGCATCGGTCCCAACTTCTCACCTGACCCAGAAGACGGTGACGAAGCAGCTTATTCCGGGAATGAAAATTCCCCTTGACACACACCCACGGGACTGCAGATTCTAGGCCTCTGGGTCTCCGTCCAGCATCCGCCGCCGCCTTCTCCGCGAGAGCCTTCGACCCTGTCGCAGGCTCTGGGGGGGGAATATAAGGCGAAATGGAAGGAAGCGATGGAAAAGGAGTTAAAAGCTCTACAAGACCGGAAAACATGGAAACTGGTACCTGCAACAAGCATCAACGGAAAAAACGTCCTCTCGGGGAAATGGGTGTACCGCATTAAGACCAACTCAGACGGCTCCATCGAACGATTCAAAGCTCGATGGGTCGTACGAGGCTTCGATCAACGATACGGGACCGACTACACAGAAACCTTCGCTCCAGTCTCCCGTCACACCTCATTACGCATCCTACTCGCCGTCGCGGCCACGAAGACATTATCACTACGCCAAATCGACGTCGCGAATGCGTTCCTATTCGCACCTGTGGACGCCGAGATTTTCGTCGAACAACCCCACGGATTCATCGACGACCCCACGAAAGTGGACTGCAGAAGGGAACAGAGTATATCCTACTCATCGTCTACGTCGACGACCTGCTCTACATCGGCTCCACTACCGACATCGCCACCTGGTTCGAACGGGAGCTGAAAGAAGACTTAACACTTACGGTGTCCGACGAAGTGACCCAGTACCTAGGACTGAATGTCGACGAAAACGACATGGCGTTCTACCTACACGCTGGAAAGTACTCAGGCACCGTCGCGAAGAAATTCGGTCTAACACCGACTACTGTCCAAACTCCCTACCACTACGGGAACAACAACAGCACCTCCGCAAAACTCCCCGCGAAGCAAATCCAGGAGTATCAACTGAAGCTCGGCTGCCTACTATTCGCAGCAGTAACCTGCCGACCCGACCTGTCCTATAGTGCGAGTCAACTGGCGACGCATCTGAAGCAACCGGAATAGGAAGATCTCAAGGAGCTCAACCGGGCACTACTCTACTTCGTCTCCACGCCGACGATCGGGCTTACCTACAGCAAAGCGACAACACCGTCCGTACGACTACTCGGATACGTCGACGCCGACCACGCGGGAGATAGGTAAAATCGACGATCTAGGACGGGCTACATCTACCGACTAGAACCCATCGGAACTATCTCCTGGCAGTCGAGCAAGCAGGAGTTAATCGCACTATCCTCGGCTGAAGCAGAGTATATCGCCCTTTGTACTGCGACCAAGGAAGGACTCTACCTGCGGGAGTTACTCGAGGAAGCGAAGATCGCGACCCTGCCCGCCTTCTCACTCCTCTGCGACAACCAATCTGCGATCAAAATCGCGAACAAGGACGGCTTCGCCAACCGAACCAAGCACATCGCCCTGCGGTACTTCTTCGTCAAAGATGAAATCGCGAAGGGGAGACTTCAACTCAGTTACTGCCCGACGACAGAAATGGCCGCAGATTATCTGACGAAGAAATTGGCGAAAGCAAAATTCGACTACTGCATGCTCCTGACCGGGCAAACAAACGCCACCGGATCTGAACACGCCAGCACTCCAGAAACGAAGGGGAGTGTTGGAAATATCTCAAAGGACTTAAGCGTTTCTAAAGTATAACACTGTACTCGAGGAAGATTACAGGGGAGCACGCGAGTCAACGGAGGTTGCACGAGGGGGCGGACAAAGAACGCGAAGGAACTCGAAAGGTCGCAACTGGAGGTTGCGACTGACAGTTACAACATCGCAGATGGTAACCGAAGCGGCAATCGAGTCGCCTGTGCGACTCGATAACCGCTCCTGCAACTGTATTCCACAACTGCTTTCTTATTTCCTATATATTGCACAACTGTATGCTTGTTTCTTTAATCAATCACTTGTTCTCACATACTAGTACAAGGATTCAACCGTCTCAACTTCCGCTGCACTACTCAAAGTCTCAAGTCTCCACAGCTAGGGACTTCGTCTCTGAAAAGATCCTAAGGGTTTTTCTCAGCCCAATAGAAGTCTTATAAGAGTGAACCTGAGCACATGAACTTGTGGGTAGTTATAGGTTGAATAACCTGAGCACATAATTCTGTGGTAAGTCACTGTTGAATAATAGAAAGGCATTACAAGGATTTATAGCTCTAGGGAAAGTACCTGTTCGGCAAGTTGCGCGCTATGCGACCTATTCGTCATACTATAGAGTCGCGACTGTTCGCGTGACTGAAAACGGCTCGTTAAGCATAATCGCGTTACTGAAGCAGTATGCTGACGTCATCCCCGAGACCCGCGATGCTTTGCTGACATCAGCACTCTATCATAGATACTTACTGAGAACCTCGATACTGCTAGCTACACTGAAAACGGAACTTGCAGGAATGCAAAAATTCATATATCACAACAGGTGTGTTGTGTTCTAATACTAGAATGAATAAAAGCAAGTGAGAACAAGCAAGATATAGGTTGGGTTGTACTCTCTAAGAACATACACCTATTCCAGACTATAACTTCTACATGCAGAATGTATGTATAAGTTGATATGTTGCCCTCTCGGACAAGCTGGAGTTGAAGAATGCATCGCATGAAATGGGACAGAAGGCAATGCTCAATGCACACTACGCTTGAATGCAATCACAACCATAATATTTTTTCTGAACGTGTACTGGAGGAAGGAGGGGAGGGGGGGGGGGGAGGGGCATGTATCCTGGTGTTACGGGATATCTACTGTAGCTTGCCTGGATATGGTTGCAACACTGTAGTTTGGTCAATGGGCTTCCACCCTGGTATCACTATGGAAATGGGAAAGACCACGTTGCTCAAGAGCAAGCACATGATATTACGCAGATGTGGGAACAGCAAGGTCGAAGCAGGGAAACCAGTAGCGCCGGCGGCCATCCGCATGGCCATCGTCCACCATGGCTATGCCCTCCTGGCAACAGTCAAAACAGGATTGGGGGGAAAGAGAAGGGGAGGGGGGGGGGGGGGGGGGGAAGGCGAATGAGAGAGGTAGCTATCGCAGGTGCAAGCACAAATAGCTGTTGTAGAACAGGGAGAAAGGAGGGCAAAATGCGACTGCGATTTAAATCGCAATGCGCTGGGGTGCGATTTAATCAAAAGCGATGCGATTTAAAATCACAATGCGCGCTTTATTCTTTGAAAAGGAATCAATCGCACATCGGTTCAGCGCGCGATGCATTTTTCAACCGCATGCGACAAATAATTAGATCGCGCGATGCGATTTTACATCGCATCGCGGTCTAGGACAGAAAGAAAATCAACCCCAAAAAACCCAAAAAAAACATGGCTGCCGGGAAATTGAACCATGGGCAGCTGTAAGCTAGTGTGTAAAACTCGGTGTGCATGTGCACATGTCATCAAGTCACAGTGACTCACAAAGCATGTTGAGAGTAGCTTATGCCACAAAACATGTTGAGAGTAGCTTACGCTACAAAGCATGTTGAGAGAAGCTTATGCCACAAAGCATGTTGAGAGTAGCTTATGCCACAAAGCATGTTGAGAGTAGCTTATGCCACAAAGCATGTTGAGAGTAGCTTATGCCACAAAGCATGTTAAGAGTAGTTTATGCCGCAGAGCATGTTGGGAGTAGCTTGTACCGCAAATCATATTTGGTTGAAAGAATCTTATGCTAGATCGCATTGAGCTCCCAGTGCCTGGCACTGTTGCAATTGCTCTCTCGCATCTACTGCCATGCGCCATGCACACCCACCTCACCTTGAGCAGGGCGTCTAGGGCGTCGTTGATTCGCCCGTGCTGCCATGATGTGGCGGAGTGGATGTCATCTGCACTCACACATCCCCGCGCCTGGGAGATGGAGAGGTATGGGGGAGGGGGCAGAAGGAAGCACCAAGAGGGAACCGTGGGAGGGTAGGAAAGGCTCCCCGCCACAATCCGAGCATATTCACGTGCACCAATCAGCCTGACGTGATTCAACTGAGCCATTCAACCTGACTCTACAGGGTAGGCCCCATTTGCTGTAAGCGATGAGATTCATTCCCCGGCTCACCTGCGCTGAGATTCATTCCCCGGCTCACCTGCGCTGAGATTCATTCCCCGGCTCACCTGTGCTGAGATTCATTCCCCGGCTCACCTGCGCGAGCCGGATGATGCCGTTCTGGTCGGTGCTCAGCTCGCGCGGCAACGAGCGCACCACGTGCACCGTGCCCACCCTCTCCACTGAGAACCCGCCGCCCAGGGACTGGAGAGGAGGGGGTTGTGACGAGGGAGTAGAGAAGCAACGAGGGGGCGATGAGTGAAGCAAGGACGAGCACAGCTGCTGTGCCCACTCCCTCCACTGCCAAGCCAGGTTGGTGGAAGCCAGGGGCTGCTGGTGGAAGCAGAGGGGAGGAGGGTGCATGAGAAATGAGAAGCCCAGAGAGAATATGAATGCATCATTGGCCGTGCATGGCATGGCATGCCGCATGGCTTTGCAACTCCTGAACCAGCGACGTGGAGAGAAACGGGCACCCAGTGAAAAGGGTGGGGCGACTTATTAGCAGGAGGAATACAACGAACGGGTGAGATGAGAATCACAGTTGATATTGCAACCTTCAGAACGAAGAGACCGTTCTTCCGAGAGAGGTAACCAGCGACATAAAAGAGGGGCATGGCTTGCCTTGATGGTGGCGAGAGGGGCATGGCTTGCCTTGATGGTGGAGAGGGCGCGGATGCAGTCGTCATGCGAGATGGCGTCCAGCGCCATGCGCCGCCTGCCCGCCACGAGGCGCCGCACCGCCTCCAGCTCCATCATGCCGCCGTTGTCCGTGCGCGCGGCCATGCACGTCTCGATCATCTGCACGCCTGGGGGGGTGGGCGTGGTGTGACACGCAGTGCAACCACGGCAATCCATGTCACCCTCATATTGTATCAACCACTCTGCCGTTGTCTACCCGTATTGCCATGCACATTTGTGACGGATGGGCCTCCGCCATGGGTGGCACGGACCATGGCATGAATCGCATGTCATATCATGTCCTATCATGTCCTATCATGTCCTATCATGTCCTATCATGTCCTATCATGCCCTATCATGTCCTATCATGTCCTATCATGTCCTATCATGTCCTATCATGTCCCATCATGTCCTATCATGTCCTATCATGTCCTATCATGTCCCATCATGTCCTATCATGTCCTATCATGTCCTATCATGTCCTATCATGTCCTATCATGTCCTATCATGCCCTATCATGCCCTATCATGCCATGTGATGTCCTATCATGCCATGTGATGTCCTATCATGCCATGTGATGTCCTATCATGCCATGTGATGTCCTATCATGCCATGTGATGTCCTACCATGCCATGTGATGTCCTAATATCTCATGTCCTGGCATGGACTGGATGCTTTGAGGTGGCTAATGTGTGGGATGGGTTAGCATGATCTGCTGATTCCCTTATCATCCACAGCCAACCGAGTCTCACTGAGCTTATAGCTCAAGTCAACCGGGATCAATGGAGTGAGTGTGGGCACACCCAGCTCGTAGTAGAAGTCGCCGAAGCCCAGCAGCTCGTTCCAGAAGCCCTTGTTGGACGCAAGGGGGTCGACGCCGCACTGCGCACACATGGCGTGGAACTGCGCGCGGAAGGCGGGGTTGCTGCGGATGTCGCTCTGGTGAGAGAGAGCGGGGGAAGAGGGGAAGCAGGGGATGAGAAGGGGGAAGTTGAAGGCAAGGGGGTCCATGCCGCACTGAGCGCGCCGTGAGAAGGGGCAACAGCGGATGTGGTTGTGGGGAAGGCTGTGGGATCACAGGGACGACGGCGGACGTATGGCTGCGACTCAAAACCGCATCCGTACTATGGACTGGACTTGTGCTTCAGCGCATGCATGGAGGCAAGTCGTGCGTGTATCCCCTGCGCGGCACGCCTTGCCTTGTGCTTCTGCGCGAAGGCGGTGAGGAACCCGCGGAACGTCTCCAGCTGCTCCCGCAGCGACGCCTGCCGCTGCTTCGCCACGTCCTCCCCCAGCGACCGGTACTGCCCCCTCACCGCCGCCGCCGTCTGCAGCCCCGCCACGCCCGGCCGCCGCCTCATGCCGCCCACGCGCCTCTCCTGCCCCCGCCTGCTCTCACCGCGCGATCCTGCACCACTCAGCGCACGTGCCTCACTTCCGCCGGCTTCCTCCGCGTGCTTCAGCGGTTCTCCTGGCAGCCCAGCTGCTGTGGACTCCACAGCAAAAAGGGCGAGGTGGGGTGGGCAAGTTCTGTGTGGGGTTCCGCAAAGTCACTCGCGTCAGACTTACGAGGGAGTTGCTTCCCAGCGTCTTTCTGCTCGGGCGCTTTGGAATAGTTGCCCTAAACTTCCTAGGGCTCGGATTTGTGCGGAGGGCCTCCTCGCGCGTCATTGGTTGTCGTTTCGAAGTTGGGTTAAAGCCCAGATCCCAAGTTGCAAGGCGCGATTTTTTTTGCTAGCTGTAAGGAATGCGTAATTCCTTAATGAGGCTTGCTACAGGGCGTACGACTCGAACAGTCCCGAACCATGGCCAGGGTTCCAGACCTATCAGTTCGAGCCTCCTGGGCCTTTCCGGACCTCGCTACGACACATCGAGGCCCTTCGATACTTTTCCCGAACCTTCAGATCCTACGTCCAGGATCACCCTAGGCTTTCTATATATTGTGTTGTCTTTCATTTTATTGTCATTCACTCGTTCACAGTTTCGCCATTGCCCTCCGCGCTACTCGGCAGTCCCATTCATAACACTAGCAATATCGCGGCGCAAAAAGGTTGGTAACCCCATGCACCCGGATGAAACTGAACAATGACGCGGTGGCTGTAAAAGGGGGCTCGTGATTGGTCGAAAGGCAAGCAAACACCTTCGCCCAAGCAGCCCAACCCCTGGCTCTCTCTCAGCTCAAATGGCCAAGGGAAAGTTGCTATCAATTTTTGTGAATTGGGACCCAGGCGAGACCTAGTGACTAGAAACTAGCCAGCATACGAGGTTTCTCGCGCGCGTAGCCAAGCCTAGACGAAACTGCCTGCCATAAGGAATGATAACGAAAATGCCGCATATCCCGCGATAACCGGCTAAGCAGTGCGAACCGCGCATAATTCATCCCGAGGGACGAAGTGACGCGGGAGCAGGGACGGAGAGACGCGATAGCAAGGACGGAGAGGCGCGACAGCAGGGACGGAGGGACGCGATAGCAGGGACGGAGAGACGCGACAGCAGGGACGGAGAGACGCGATAGCAGGGACGGAGAGACGCGACAGCAGGGACGGAGTGACGCGACAGAACCTACCAAGTGACGCTATAGCACACAGTGGCTGAGGCGAAAGCAGGGAGGAAACAGCGAGGGCAGGTGAGGTAGAGCGGAGTGAGCGCGCGGGAGGGAGAGCGGAGTGACGCGGGAGGGAGCGCGGAGTGAGCTCGCGGGAGGGAGAGCGGAGTGAGCGCCGAGGGAGAGCGGAGCGCGCGCGCGGGAGGGAGAGCGGAGTGAGCTCGCGGGAGGGAGAGCGGAGTGAGCTACGGAGGGAGAGCAGAGCGTGCGCGCGGGAGGGAGAGCGGAGTGAGCGCGCGGGAGGGAGAGCGGCGTGAGCGCGCGGGAGGGAGAGGGGCGTGAGCGCGCGGGAGGGAGAGCGGCGTTAGCGCGCGGGAAGAGCGGCGAGATCGCGCGGGAGGGAGAGCGGCGTGATCGCGCGGGGGGGAGCAGCGTGAGCGCGGGAGGGAGAGCAGGGGCAGAGGAAGGGGAAAGGGGAGAGGGGTGAGAGCAAGGGCAGGGGTGAGGGAGACGAGTGAGAGCAGGCGAGGGGGAGAGGCGGGAGAGCGAGGGAAGGGGAGAGGGGTGAGAGTGGAGAAAGGGGAGAGGAGAGAGAGTAGGGGAGCGGGAGAGGAGTGCGAGCAGGCGAAGGAGATAGGAGTGAAAGCAGGGAGGGAGGGAGGGAGTGAGAGCAGGCGAGGGGAAGAGGAGTGAGGGCAGGGGCAGTTGGAGAGGAGTGAGAGCAGGTGAGGGGGGGAGGTGTGAGAGCAGGGGAAGGGAGAAGAGTGAGAGCAAGGGAAGGGGAGAGGAGTGAACGTTGGGACAGAGAAGACTAGAGAGAGCAGGGTAGGGGGAGAGAAGTGCGAGCAGGGGAGGGAGGGAGGAGAGAGGGCATGGGAGGGAGAGAGGGAGTGTGAGCAGGGGATGGGGAGAGGAGTGAGAGCAGGGGAGGGGGAGAGGAGTGAGAGCAGGGGAGGGGGAGAGGAGTGAGAGCAGGGGAGGGGGAGAGGAGTGAGAGCAGGGGAGGGATAGAGGAGTGCGAGGTGGGGAGGGAGAGAGGGATTGAGGGGGGTGGGGAGATGAGTGAACGGGAGGAAAGGGGATAGGAGAGAGAGCAGGGGAGGGGGAGAGGAGTGAGAGCAGGGGAGGGAGGGAGGAGTGAGGGCAGGGGAGGGAGAGAGGGAGTGTGAGCAGGGGATGGGGAGAGAAGTGAGAGCAGGGGAAGGGAGAAGAGTAAGAGCAGGGGAAGGGGAGAGGAGTGAACGTGGGCAAAGGGGAGAGGAGAGAGGGCAGGGGAGAGGGAGAGGAGTGCGAGCAGGGGAGGAAGGGAGGAGTGAGGGCAGGGGAGGGAGAGAGGGAGTGTGAGCAGGGGCTGAGGAGAGAGGAAAGTTGCAGGGGAGGGAGAGAGGAGAGCTGCAGGGGAGGGAGAGAGAGCTGTCGTTGGCATGCCAGCCCACAACCTCCCTATCCCCCGAACCTTTGCTTCCAAACCTCCACTCTGCCCAGAGTTCGTAAACACATCGTACTCCTTATCCCTGCCCATCCCCATCCCCCTCTCGCTGCCTGTCCAGCCCTCGGCGCGATACCAACCCAAGTCCCTTCGTACGCCTTCTATGTGCCCACCCTCTCCTGCCCCAACCCTCTCTTTACACCCACCAAACTATGGGTGCTTCATCAACGCCCTACTCGGCTGCATCAATTCCGTGGCTGCTGCAGAAACGCACGCGTGGGTGAGAGAGGGTGGGAGAGAATGCGAGACGGGGAGGGAGAGAATGGGATAGACGGTGTGAGCAAAGGAGTTTTGGAGAGGGCAAAGGAGATGAGGGGTGAGCATAGCATGTGGAAGGTGAGCATGGGAAATGAGAAGGGAGGATGGGAGAACACATATGGCAAAGAATGGAGTGAGGGTAGGAAAGCAGAAAGAGAGAAGGGAGGGTGGGCAGCGTCGCGGGGTGGCTTGTGAGGGAGAGATGTGGGCAGGGAGCAAAAGGGAGAGTTGGGCCACACGCGCTGAAATTAGAGGGTGGAAAGACGAGCAACCGGCTAGCAGAAACCTCACCTGCCTGTACATGTGGCTGCAAAACCGGCTCACTGTTCAAGCAGTTATGGACATGGCTGCAATACATTACCGTATGCTAATGTAGTCCAGTCAAATTGTCATAACGAGATTAGTCACTTCACGGGCGGATGCAATCCGCAGAAATAACCTGGTGGAGGCAAACTATATGAGATATGGATAGTGATAGACACACATGGAACTCAAAAGCGTGCAGTACACCTTGGAACTCACTCAGTTGGTAGGGGCCCAGGTGCCGTCGCTCGTGGGCGGATACTCAGGCGAAAGACGTTGACGCGCTTGTCCCCGAACAGCGCCAGCAATGTCAGAATCGTGCTCGAAGAGAGCATGAGGCGAGCCGTACATCAAATCTCGAAGCATATCGTCCACGCACGACCAACACATCAGGCCCAACACCCTATCGTGCCGACCACGCCGCACCCTCGTGATTTGCCGTGCTCGTGTTATATATGCTTTCACAAGCCGGTCCATCGTGTTATTCCAGTGTAACAGCTAAGGCTATTCGAGCCTCATAGCTGCCTTGAAGACGGAGGCGTTTGGGTGCGTACTTCAAAATGATAGAGTGGAAAGACTCGTTCATTGAGCTCGTCGCACCGTCCACTATCGTCACCACCTGGGCCGGTGAAAAGTTATCAGCGAGGTAGCACGTAACTTTACGATGAGCACCAGAGTTAGGCAGGTAAAGTGCCTGTCTCCGACCCCAGTTTTCCCGAACACACTGCGGATCAAGACCTGCACGTGCGCAAAGTCGATGATCCCCAGCCCAGTGGTCGGCTGCGAGACAGATCTCGTGAGAAACCTCCTCGAGCGACATAGGGTTCCTCGCCTTTTTCCGTGCTCCGCATCGCAGCATGACGTGTGCCATGTGGGTGCCGAACCGGTCTGCCACATCAACCTCCTTCACCCGGCCTCCTAGACGTCCTGTGCACGACCGTGCACCCCGTGGTCCCCAGATGGGTACTGCTGATGGTCACCATCTCCTGACATCCCACTCACTTCAGACTCCCCCTCCGCGGGGTCGGCTTCTTCCGGGGAGGGGAGGGTGGAGTGAGTTCCTATTTAGAGGACATTGGGGGTTGGCACAGGGGAGGGTCGTCAAGTACTATCATAGCGTACCATGATACACTCCTACAACTTGCACATCCCTGTACATTTGCACCCTCACCCACCTTCATCTGCACCACGTGACGGACTCGCTTGACACCGCATGAGCACAGGCAACCCCACTGAGTTTTTCACGCATCTCGGAAAGCGGTACTCCACCCCTTGGGTATCTCCTCCCTCTCGCTGCACCACTTCTCCGATGGATCCTGGTTTGCCGTTCATGCGCTTCCAAAATGCTGACGTTGCTGCTTCACGATGCATCGCGACAACATCCGCAGCCCGTCCTCCGCCACGACCTGGCGTGAAGAGAGGGAGTTGTAACACTTATGGTTTACAAACGCGGTTGCACGTTACAAATGTACTAGTGCGCATACCTGAGTTTTTAGCCACCCGGATTAGCCAATCAGTCACACGTGGTGCCACTAGCATGAAGATGATCAACAAATCCGCGGGAGTGGCAATGCCCTTTCCGCCCATTGCCATAGACAGTCTGACACGCTTATGCAGACAAGAGCTGTCATCCACCGCGGCAGGGAGTGCATCCGTTTCTTGTATGAGCCGCATAGCAGTCGCATGCGGATTCGTCTGCTTTTCAAAGGAGGCATCCTGTTTAGCAGCATGAGTGGGAGTGAGAAGAAGAGAGACCATCTCAGAGAGAGAGTGTGTGAAAGACCATATCTCTCACACACGCACACATACACACAAACACATACACATACATACACACCCTCCCTTTCTCTCCCTCTCACCACCCCATTTTCCCTCACTCTCACCACTCCACTCTCCCTCACTCTCCCTCTTCTGTTTTCCCTTTACCTCTCTTTTGGTCTTCCTCTCCCTCTCACTCTCTCCCTCTATCTCACTCTCTCTCTCCCTCTCTCTCAGTCTCACTCACTCTCTCTCACTCTCTCATTCTCTCACTCTGCCACTC